CCCCCCCCCCCCCCCCATATATTTCTATTTCTCCCCTCCTATATACTCTACGTAAACATTCTTAGCTCCCATGCATAATCCATCCCCATCTCTGTCGTCAAACACCATGAAACCCGGCGGCCGGAAAGCCAACAACCTCCCCATCGCCGCGGCGGCGCTCTCCGTTTTCCTCGTCGGATGCTTCATGTACAGTGACGACTTCAAGTCTGCCGCCGAGTTCCCGTTCTCGGAAGACCGGGAAAGCCCGGTCCGAGAAAACAGAGCACTGGTTATATCCTCCGTGGGAAACCCGGAAACAGAGCCGCCATTATTGACGGAGGGCGGGGAGGAAGATGAAGGCGGCGCCGCCGTTGAATTGCCGGAGGAAGATTGCGATCTCTTCACGGGGGAATGGGTTTACGACGAGGATGGGTCCCACCCGCTGTATAGGGAGGCGGAGTGTGAGTTTCTTACGGCGCAGGTAACTTGCCTGAGAAATGGGAGAAAGGATTCTTCTTACCAGAAATGGAGGTGGCAACCCAGAGATTGTTCTCTACCCAAGTAATTACTCCCTAATTAATTAACCTTAATTAACCCAAAAGTTGTATGTTTCCAAAAGTTTTTAAACTATGACACGCCGTCTCAAGGCGAAATCTGTGTTTGCTAGCTCGATCGTTGTTATCTTAGTTAGAAAAGCTCTGATATCATTTGACAAAATCAAACTCAATCAAAAAAGTAGGGGTAATTTACCTAAATAGGACTAAAACATACGGAGTAATGACTTTCTCAATATAGGATCATACTCCCTCCGTCCCTAAATAAAGTTCCTCTTTCGTTTTTTCTTTGTCACTAAATAAACTTCTCTTTTCCCTTAAAAAACTCTTTTTACCCCTTACTATTTCATACCCTACATATCACATCATACCTTTTTACTAATAATCTACCTATCACATCTTACTTTTACACATCACATCAAGGGTATTTTTGAAAAGTCAATACAAAAATATCCCTCCCTTAAATCCTCAAAAAGTCAAAAATGGAACTTTATTTAGGGACGGAGGGAGTATATTTTTATTTTCCAATAATGTAGGATCATTAGTCATTATCTATTAGTCATTATTCCACTAAATGTCCAGCATCACTTGGACATTATTTTTCTCACTAATCATTATTAAGTCCTATTTAGTGAATAAAAAAGTTTAAGTCCTACATTGGGAAATGACTTATGTTTTAGTTCTATTCAGTGCAAATTTCACAAAAAGTAAACTTCTATAATGGTTATAGGTGCAAGAAATATTTTATACTCTAACATTTAGTATCATTTCATATATATATGTATATGTATCTTTGAGTTCAATAATTCAGACAAGTCTTACTTAGGTTGTTACATATGGTGTTTTAGGTTCAAGCCAAAGTTGTTGCTTGAGAAGTTGAGGAATAAAAGGATGATGTTCGTTGGGGATTCTTTGAACAGAAATCAATGGGAATCAATGGTTTGTTTGGTTCAATCCATTGTTCCTCCCGGGAGGAAAAGCCTGAACAAGACCGGTGCTTTGTCCGTTTTCAGAATTGAGGTCCTTTTCTTAACCACCTATGTTTAATTTGGAGACTCGAAAGAATAATACTCTCTTCAATTCTTTTTTTATTATTCCTTTTGTCTGAAAAATATATTTACTCTTATTTAATTTTTTTCGGTCTCAGAATAGGTAACACTTTAACTATTACTCCCGTGTCTCTACATGTTTACCATATTTTATAAAACGAGACAAAATATCAAATTTTTTAAACTTATTTTATTTAAATATTAGTATAGAAATATGAGTGACTACATGAATTTTAAGCATATAAATGTGGGTGTGGCTAATTTGCAGGACTATAATGCAACGGTTGAATTCTATTGGGCACCATTTTTGGTCGATTCTAATTCGGATGATCCAAACATGCATAGCATCCAGAACCGGATCATCATGCCCGAATCCATCGAGAAGAAGGGTCAAAATTGGAAAGATGTTGACTTTCTCATATTCAACACTTACATTTGGTGGATGAACACTTTTGACATGAAAGTACTGTGAGTGTACCATTGACCCCATTGACTTTTTAAAATTTTATAAAATCAAACTGTTAAAATAATTTCAAGATGAAAGAGTATAACCCCCCCTCCCCCCCCCCCCAAAAAAAATATCTCATTTCTTTTCATTCATCTAAAAAAATGTTACGTTCTTTTAAAACATGCCGGATTTTAAAAAATAAAATCCAAACTTCAATTTTTTTCGATATTTAGTTTAAATCCATAAAAAAAGATAAAGTGGGTCATTTTTTGTGGGATGGATAATATTATTGCATATACATTGGGCTGGTAATTGATTGAAATTAAATTGATGCAGCCGTGGATCATTCGATGATGGATCAACCGAGTACGATGAGGTGCCAAGGCCCAATGCTTATAAGAAGGTGTTGTCTACCTGGGCCCAATGGGCAGAAGAAAATGTGGATCCAAACCGGACCCAAGTGTTCTTTATGAGCATGTCTCCTCTTCATATCAAGTAACCTAACAATTTCTTTGTTAATGCCTCTCAAAAAAGACTTCATTTTTTGGTACATAAAAAATAATCATCTTGCAACCCAATTTTTTTGGCAACAACTAATTTGTTTGACTATTAACCATATAAACAATTTTAATTTAAGAACATGTACTCCCTCCGTGCCAATTTAGATTGTCTATTTACTGTTCACATGGTCAAACTTTACTCACTTTTTTTCTCTAATTTAGTTAGTCATTTGATAAAATAATAGGAAAATTTATCTAAATAGGACTAAAACATAACGACTTTCTCAATATAGGATCATCTATTTATTGCAAATTTTTCAAAATAATATAGTCATGTCACCGCTATTTTTATACCCCGGAGAAGATCTTTTCATCTAAATTTTAAATATGCAATTTTATTTTTTAATTATACACCATTTTTCATATAAAATGATGTGAAAATAAAAAGGTTATTGTTTTACTTGATAGGAGCTTGGATTGGGGCAATCCTGAAGGTATAAAATGTGCAAGTGAAACAAGACCAATTCTAAACACAACCATGCATTTGGACGTTGGAACTGACAAGAGATTACTTCTGATAGCATCAAACATAACTCAAAACATAAAATTGCCAATTCATTTTCTCAACATTACGGTTCTCTCCGAATACAGGAAAGATGCGCATACGTCGGTCCACACCATCCGACAAGGAAAAATGTTGAGTCCAGATCAGCAAGCGGACCCCGCCACGTATGCGGATTGCATACATTGGTGCTTACCTGGACTTCCCGACACGTGGAACGAGTTTTTGTACACATATATTATGTCTCGCTCTTGACACGTGGGGGTTTGTTGTCTCCCTCTCCGCGGCCTTATTCATGACAATTAATTTTTGTTTTGATCCAATTGTAAAAAAATTATTGTTTGATTCAAAGAAAATAACAATTTATAAGAAGAATTTTATTTGTTTGGGTCGTGAAGAAATATTCTAGTTCAATATAGCTTGGATATCTTTTTTGTGCCGTGCTCTAGGCTCTGTTCCATTCAACTTATTTTTTCTGATCTAATCTGATTTTTTGTAGTTCTGATCTGATCTGATCTGGTCTGGTCTGAGGGTGATTTCCCAATCAGTGCAGATTTGGGAAATCCATTCCCAAATGGTGAAGGGGGGTCTGACATTGCGCAGGATGTGGGACTTAGGCTTTAACGGGACTGCCAGTACCGTAATATGTTTTTTTAGATTAACGGTACTGGCTCTACCGTTAATCAATGAGTTATTTAAATAAAATTTTCCCTTTGTTAAATATTGACATTAAATTAAAACAATAATAAAAATTTTATTCATTTGATGGACTACTACTGAAATTAAAAGCATACAAATAAAAGATACCAAACATATATAAAAATCCCACATTGAAATTTTTTAATTTAGGTGAATTATATGGTGTAAGATGATTAGTGATATTAGATGTGAGATATTTTTTTTGTTAGGTGGATTGTATTGTGTAGGATGGTTCGTAGTGTTATGTGAGATATTTTTTTTGGTTATGTGGATTGTATGGTGTAGAATGTTTCGTGGTGTTAGATTGGATATTATACAAATTAATATCTACCGAAATTAATACAATAATATAGATTTTATCATCCAAATTAATAGAAGAATAAAAAAAATTTATCATCCAAATTAATACAATAATAAAAAAGTTTAAAGTACAATAAATACGTTCAATAAATGTTTACGAATCAGATTCGTCATCGTGATATTGTCCTGGGACAATGTAGTGACTTCCTGTACCGCACCGCCGGCCCTGTATCTGTCTTTGTGGCCTACGTCGTGCCACGTCTGCTCTCTGATCCTGGAGACCTTGTAGATTGTCCTCTTGAGTCACCTTGTTACCCGTCGTGCTAGCAAACTGAGCACCACCCATAATCTTCAACATCAATGCCCGAACATGCTGCCGAAAGTCGACCTCCGGGCTATGATCACCAATAGGAATGAGTACGATCGCATTCATTTTGATCTGCGTCTTAGTCACGTCCTCTAAAGATGGCCTAAACCCCAACATATCTAAACACAATTGGGCCCAATACTCTTTGGTGTTGTCACGCGAACCAACAACCGGGGTGCCATCTACGGGAAGACCAAGTAGGACCTCTACATCTTGTAATGTGATCCCAACCTCTCCAAACGGAAGATGAAAGGCGTGCGTCTCCGGTCTCCACCTCTCCATTAAGGCGGTAATCAAAGCCCAATCTATTTGTAACTTAGAAATTCTTTCAAGTCCGTAAAATCCATATTCACGCAATATATCCACAACTCGTGGATGACGTTCTACACCAAATCCTTCCCTCAAGCAACCAAAAAATTTTACACATTTCACCGGTACGTCGCCAAACTCACGGTCTTGCCACACTCTATCACAACGATGTTTGCTGGGTGCAAAGACTAGTACATCGGGAACAATTGGTCCCGGATGGACCTCCGTTCTTTCAAAATTCATTTTTCTACAAAATTAATATTTTTATTTTATGAATATGAAAAATCAAAAGTATGTAGTGCACTACAAAAAAATTCCACAAATATTTCACACAAAAGATTCGAATATCTCATAAACATAAAATTATCAGATTTCTCAACATAGATCTAATCTAAATTTTTAATTTTCTAAATTATCAATATTTCAATTTTCTATATTCTCATTCTAAATCTAATCACAAATATAAATCATAAAATTTTCAATCATCAAATATAACTTCAAATTAAAAATTTGGGAAAAAAATTAAGAAAAATGGTACAGTTTGTACCGTTAACCTGGGCGTACGACGGCGACGGAGAGGGTAGGACGGCGTGCGACGGCGATGGGTAAGACGGCGTGCGACGGCGACGGCGACGACGTCGAGCTTGAAGAGGATGGCGATGTTCCCTGCTGCTTCTTCGAAAGTGGGAGAGGGAGGGCTGGTTTCGGATAGAATATGGATGGTTATCCATCCATTCAATTTTTTTTAGGCATTACGGTACAAGGAGTACCGTTAATATAAAGAAATTAATTTCTTGTACTTTAACGGTACAAGCTCTCCCGTTCATCTATTTTTTCCTGAGCACTGATTGGGAACGCTTTTTTGGTTTCTTCACCGAATGGGAATTGATTCCTGGTCTGATCTGATCTGATTGGATCTAATCTGATCTGATGTGATCTGATCTGGTCTGATCTGATTGGATCTGAGCTGATCTCATCTGATTGGATCTGAACTAATTAATTATGATTTGATTTAAAATTCAAATCAATAATTTGATTTGAGTTTATAATAACGTTTGAAAATTGGAATGATAATTCATATTATAATATAATCAATATTTTTTATTTATAATTATTTTTTAATAAAATAAAATTAGTTAATTTATATATTGGAATAATCATTCATATTTTAATGTAGTAATATTTTTTATTTTATGATTATTGTTTGTGAAATAAGAATATTGATTTAATATTTTAATAACTAGTTCATACATACATTAGAATAAATATTTAATTTATGTAAATCAATACAGGTAGCAATAAAAATATATTTTAAAAGTAGAATTAGATTGAATTTGTCAATGTATTTTAAAAATAATTTTTTCGACGTTTAATAATTAAGGATTAATTTCTTAGTTTTCTATTTAACTTGTTTCTAAAGTTTATTCTTTTTCATTGTTAAGAATAATAATAATAATAATAATAACAACAACAACAACAACAACAAGAACGATAATAATAATAATGATAATAATAATAATAATAATAATAATAATAATAATTCTTTATGGGATCTGATCTGATCTGGTCTGGTGTGATTGGATCTGATCTGGTCTGATCTGATCTGATCTGATTGGATCTGATCTGATCTGATTCGATCTGATCTAATCTGGTCTGGTCTGATTTTAATAAGAATAAGAAAAATAAGTTGAACGGAACATGGCCTTAGTCATTTTAGGTCATGAATGTTAATTAGATTTTAATCCGTGCATCAGGTGAGATATTTACTTTAAAATATAAGATAAATACTTGATGGAAACCGCTTTTTCGGCGCGTCGACCCGATGAAATCGGTACTGGGTCGGCACCGCACCGAATAGCGAAATCCGGAAATTAAATAAATAAACAAAGCAGAGAGAAAGTATTTATACGTGGAAACCCAAATCGGGAGAAAACCACGGGCCTTTTTAGGCGGTGCCATGCCAAAGGGGGAGGAACTTTTATTAATCTCGGGGGAATTTACATTTACATCACTGTAGGAGCTTGGAGCCATTAATGGAGCTCCAAGCTAAAAGAAGAAGAAGAATGAAGAATTGTAGGAACATGTTGTAGGAATCTGGCCTCCCTCCTTCGTAGCCTGCATTTTAAAGGGGAGAAGGAAATAATTGATGGAGACAAGAGGAGACATTGTCCATGTGAAGCCCATGTGCGGCATGTGGTTTCCATGTGGCAGTGTTCCACGGGTCCCGCCAAATGTCTCCACATCACTTCAAATATATTCTTCTGTCCATATATCTCTGGTTCTGTCTTGAATAATTTATCTGATTTATATCTTGGGCCAGATAAAATTGGGCTTTCTTGTACTGTTCAAATAATATTGGATTAGGAAAAATCCCTAATCCATCAATACTTATATTTATTTGTTAGATCTTTTGATATATTACTCTCTTTGTTCCACAAATTTTTTTACTTTCTTTTTTCATCCGTTCCAAAAAAAAATCTTTCTCGTTTCTATTAAAAAGTCAATTTTATCAATAATATAATTATTAACTACATATCACATCATATCTATTCACTATTAATCTACTCATTTCATCATACTTTACTCATCACATCAAAGGATACTTTTGGAAAGTCAATATCAAAATGCATTTTCCTTAAATTCTTTAAAAGTCAAAACAGAAAAGGAGTTGTGAGACGGAGAGAGTAGTTCCTAATTGTGTATGTTTTATTTTTAAATTTCATATCAATTTTCAACTAATTAAATTGATTTGAAAATAATTTTAGTCAAAACTTGTAAATAACACAATTTTCAACTAATTAAATTGAGTAGAAAATAAATTTAGCCAAACCTCATAAATAACGACAGATGGTTCAAGTTATGAGGGAAAGAGTACTATTTAAATAAATTAAAAAAATAAAAGTACGTACTCCAGTCAAAATATCATAACGTATTCCAAATGGAGGAAATAATTATTCCAAGGTAAGTTTAAAATGTCGGGCTTCTTTTTTTCAATTAGGGGATAATCTACCCATTGTTAGTAGTGTTTTTTAGATAGGTAAATGTTGACTATAATGAGTAATGACCATATTCAAGGAAATGTTGACTATAGATTTGTACTTCTATTATTCAATTTTCTTGTCTTCAATTTATTTTTAATTCAGTTGCGTAAAATAAAGAAATCATTTCATCAATTTAATAAATTTCAATGAAAAATATAATCAAATTATATCATTTACTCCGTAGTAATTAAGAAGAGTCATCCTTTTCTACTAAAAAAAGTCCTTTTGTTTAAATATTTAGATATATACAGTTATTAGAAATTACCCCGGTGTATTAGAAATTGTTTCAATTAAAAATTTGTCGGAATTTTTTAGTTAAACTTATATTTAGTTTATCAAAATTTAAGTAATTTTAGGATAATTAATTTGTTTAGATTTTTTTTTGTTTTAAAAAAAGGTGGAACGCCCACCCCGGCCGCCCTAACAATCTGGCCCGACATGATTGTGAAGGGGTAAATTAAATTATGGTATAATATCAATCTAGTAAATCGCAATATAATATCAATCTCGTAAATCATGAGATAATTTCAATATGGTCTTAAAAAAAGTAGTCCGTATAGGTACGTGCATGAAGATGTTCATTTCGATTGGTGTGAATTAAAGTACAGAGTAAACAAATTTGAAAGTGAGGTGTAACTCTAACTAAAAAAATAATGAACTCAACATATATACTAAAACAAAAATTTCTGAAATGATCAAAATGTTGTACTAAAATCATAACAAAAAGAAAGATGCAGATATTGTCTCAAACATAATTTCCCATTGATATTAGCATTTAAATAAATATTTAATAGTTTAATTGAACTTTGAAAGCATTTTAACTAAATGTTACTCTTAAATACTTTCTCGGTCTCCTTAGATAATCGTTTTGATTTGTTATCCATAGATCTTTTCATCACATTTTTCTAATATATAAAATATCACAAATATCTCTATATATTTATTTTATTTATTACACCACATTCATTTCATTTAATATGCTCTCCACCCTTTTCATTAATGGTATTTTGGTAACTTTTACATTTTTTTTCAACTCTTCTTAAAAATAACAAAAAAATCAAAACAAGAACATCTTAAGGAGATCGAATTTTAAGCGCTAACGCCAGCCAAATTAAAAGCTACCATATGATAGTTTACTTAAAATATACTATAGTTTTCATTAGGGACCTAACCAAGGTGACAATGAAGAGATGCAAAAAGAGGTAATGTTTCAGTTCCAACGACGATAAATGACGATCATATTATTCATGTAACATGGAGCGCTCACACATACGACGAACAAACTCTTTTCAGGCCATGTTTGGAAAGAATATTTTCATCAATTAGAAATAGTATTTTAGATAACTTTTTAATGGTGTGGTTTGAACGCTTGCAACAATTCCAGTGTATAACTTTAACATTTTGAAAAGATTATCTAACGATATTGGCTAGTTTTAGCATTTTCAAAAATAATTAACAATATTAAAAAATTATTCAAAATGTAAACACTATTGAAAAATGTTAATCTCAAATAAGATCTAACTTTGAAAACGTCATAACTAAATTGGATAATTAGATAAGAACATTTTCAAAATATTAAAAGAACAATTTATTTCTTTTGAGATAACTATCTAATCCATTTTGAGGAAAATGTTTATCCTTTACTTAAACATAGGTGCAAAAAATGTTAATTTCATTGTTAAACTCAATAATCAATCACGGGCTGGAAAGCCGTCAATTATGCGCTAAAGTTGTTACTTTCTCTGTTTGTGTGTATATATATATTCCCTATAATGCAACGCTAAACCCCCATAGTAATTCTAAAATTCTACTCCTTTATCTCTTTTAATTATTCTTCTTTGAACAATTCTTTTCTCATATATATCTTCATAAGTTTTTTTTATCTTCATTTTCATTTTGGAATAATAATACGTATAATATATATATATATATATATATATATATATATATATATATATATATATATATATATATATATATAGACAATGTTTATTAATTATGATTTGGGGCTTCACTGTCTTGTTGACGGAATTGATATTTGTTTCCGATCAATTCGTAACCATGAAGCTATATTATATATATTCAGCTCGCCATTGATGGATATATATATATATATATAGATTGCAATCTTTACATTGGTTGCAATTATTGGTGGTTGAAAACATGCCTTCTTAGCTTTCATAGTCTCAAATTAATTGATATATTTATTATTCGCCAAGTTAAACTTTATTTATTTTCTTTTTAGAAATCACCCTAAATAGGACTAAAACATAGAGAAAAGTACTAAAATAGGACTTTCATGTTTTTTTCCCCAAAATAGGACTTTGCACTGTGGTAATAATGTGACTTTGCATTGTGGTAATGTGGCAGTGTACATGTGCACATTATTATACTTTTTTGGTAATGTATATGACCATGTTTGGTAATGTAAGTCCTATTTCGAGAATAAAAACATGGAAGTCCTATTTTGGTATATTTTCAATGTTTTAGTCCTACTTTGGTCTTTCTCCCTTTTCTTTTCATATTTTTGTTAGTCATTTGATAAAATAAAATAGTCTTGTTATCACTAGTTTTGCATGAAGTAGATCTTTTGATCTAGTTTTTAAATATGTAATTTTTTTAGTTTTACACCATTTTCATATAAAATAATTTGAAATTAACTTCAGACCACATCGTAAACTGAAACAGACGATTTAGATTGGAACGATGGAAGCGTAATTCTACACATTTGTTGCAATATACTCCATCGGTCCCCCAAAAAAATCACAATTAGTGTTTTGGGCCTCTGGATAATTTTTGTTTGTTTACTCGTTTTGGTTGACCTTATGATATTATAAAATTTCATTATGGTATCTTATTTTTAGAACTTTTGATGTACTTTAAACATTGTAATTTTTATTTTTTTTATTTCTTTACCAATTTCTAAATAAAATTATTGTAAAAGTGATAATATTTTGCACGTCGTTCGAAATGTTGTAAATAATTTGGGATGGAGCGAGTATAACACTTACACTTTACCAAATTTTTCAACAAAAAAGAATTTACAACTTACGGAGTAATATCTTTCCTTAATAGAGTATCTTTCATGTATTATTTTAATATCACTTCTGTTCGTCTTGGGTGGGGCGTGGGCGTTCCATCTTTTTTATTACGAAGTATCACTTCTATTATGTACAAATCTTTGATCCCTCCATTTTTCCCTAACGGTGGTGGCGCCACGTTAGGGCTAAGCCGGCGAAGAAGAAGAGAGACAATGGTGGACCCCGCCTAGGGGTTGTTGGAGAGGAGGAAGAAGAAAAAAGAAATAGAAAAGGAAAAAGAAAAAAAAGGTTAAATTCTTTTTCTTGACTTGAATGACAATCAAAATGTTTTTGTTGTTGAAAGATTTGCTAAATTTTGAATAGGCATCTTCTTGATACAAAATAAAGTTTGCATATTTAATTGAAGTAACGTTCAAACTTTGACTACGGTGAAATTTTTGGTCAAAGTTCCCAATATCCATAATCGATGAAGATAGTTAATTTGTTCAAATATTCAATTCGATACCGGGCCGTTTCTTAAAAGCCTGATTTCTTATTTCAATAGTTAATTTGTTCAAATATTCAATTCGATACCGGGTTCACTTTGTCACTGTACTTATATTTGTAAAAGTTGATTTATTTTTTAAAAAGTTATGTTTTGTTGCTCGATTTAATGGTTAGTTTGTTGTTGTATCATTAAATAAGTTGTAACATCCAGTCAGTTTTTATACATACAAAAAAATGATTTACTTTATTAAAAGAACATTTTAATAATTTTACCTACTTCGTCTTAAAATTTTCTTCCAAGTTACTATTTATATGGTCAAATATTAATCACTTTTTTATCTATTTATGTTAGCTTTTTATAAATATTATATTTATGTCGCCTCTAATTTTGTAGATCTCTGGATGTAATTTTTAAATACATACTTTTTATCTTTAAATTTTACAGATAAATTCAAATAAATTGAAGGAAAAAAGACTAAAATAAAAGTAAAATATTGAAAATATATCAAAATAGGAGTTTTATGTTTTTAAAAAATTAAAATGAAAAACATATTTTCTTTAAATTAAATTAAAAATAATTGTAGTCAAATCTTAAAAAATTAAATAAAAAAAATATTTTAAGACGAAGAAAATATTAATATTATTGAGTCAGCTCAGGCCGACTCTTGCATTTGGCCATAAAACCTTTACTCTGGCCCACAAGATAGAAACCCTTATTTTTAATACTAGTTGTTCGTACTCCAATTAAATTAAGGCCCAAACCCATTTTATTGCAAGTGTATCCGGGGAGGTACTCCAAAAAATTAAGCCCAATTTCATATATTGTGAGTGTGTCGAGGACGTGATCTTGTAATGGTGATAGACTATTATACGAGCGTGGGTCGTGTAGATTTTATACTCCTTTCGTTCAAAAAAGAATGTCACAGTTACTATTCTGATATCTCGATAACTTTTTGTTGTTTACTCATATTGGTTGATCATTTGCTAAAATAAAATATTTTTGTTATATCTTATTTTGTAAAACTTTTTATGTATTTTAGAACGATGTAATTTAATTTTTTTATTTTTCTAATAATTCGTAAATAAAATAATTTTAAAGGAGATGATAGTTTACATGTTTTTCAAATGGGAATTGATATTTGAGCTCCACAAATTGTTAGTTACGCTCCACTTTTTAATTTATTCTAAAGATGGACAATATTGTCCTTCCAATGAATTCCCATCTTCATCTTACCCCATAATGTTTATCATTTAACCCCCATTCCTCCCATCTATTTACTTTTTTATTTTTTCAAATTTTTTTTATCCTGAAACTAAAATCTAACTTTAGATTTTAATAGTTGATTGAATTTATTTTAAAATTTTAATTTATTTAAATAGCATTTTGATATTACAAAATAAAAATTATGTAATTAAAAATTATATACACAAACTATGTTTTATTCAACTTATGTTTTAATATAAACTTTTTATTTCTTATCAAAATACCAATTTGTAAATAAAATGATTTCAAAAAGTGAGATATTTATCCTCGTAAACCCCAATTTGTAATCAAGTTGGGGACAAAAAGAGTATAATAATAATAATAATATTAATAATAATAATAATATCAACAACACTATTCGGGTCGTATTAAAACCATCCGTTTTATCTTTTCGTGAATTAAGAAAATTGTAGGAATGATATTGAAAAATGTTAAAGATTAAAAAGTAAATGTTTGATGTTTTTAGAAGAGTTCTAAAAAAGAAAGATAAAGAGTAATCAATTTTTTGGGGCATATACAAATAAAAGATTATGTAATTTCATAGACTAAATAAACCTAGAATAAATGTTATTTGTTGTCTTATACTACATCTGTCCTTGAGTATTTATCAAGTTTTGAATTCTTCTATCAATCATGATTGACTTTTAACTTAAAATTAAATAAAAATTACATGATATATTAATTTAATTAAATAATATTTTGAAGATATTTAGTAACATGAATTTTATTAAAATATTCTTGTATCAATATGTAATATAAATTTTATACGGGATAGAATCAATGGTCAAATTTTATCAATTTTGGTTGAAATAAATCAAAACGGGATAAATAATAATGGAGAGAGGTAGTATATATGTTGATGAATTAATTAATAATAGAGAAAAGTGCACGGATTACCCCCGAACTTCTCTGAAAGTGCACGGTTTACCCCTAAAAAATTAAAAGTGCAGCAATCACCCCTCTAATATGCAAAGCATTACACACTTGCCCCCTTTTCTCTTTTCCTAGAAAATAATTATAAAAAGTAATTGTAAATACTAAATTACCCTTCCCTTCATATATACTCAGTACACATAAGATATTTCAACTACAATAACCACACGAGTTCTGGAGCGAAATCTGGTGGCACGAGGTAATTTCATTTGATTTTTTTTCTTTTAATTTTATGAAATATGTTAGTTGATTCAAGTTTTGGTTTTGTTCATATAAAATTCCTAAAGTTTGTTCAAGTTTGGGTTCGATTGAAATCTGTTTTGTTCAAGTTTGGATTTTGTGCAAGTTTGGGTTTTGTTCATATAGTATGTATTTAATTGCAGAATGGATGATGGAAAAATGGATTTGTTCATGTGGCATGGTGGTAAGTTTGTGGATGAACCCGTCTTATGCTATGTTGGTGGTAAAAAGCATAGATTTACAGAGATTGATAAAGACCTAGTGAGTCCATTTGAGCTGAAATACTTGTATGAGGGGATTGAGGGCAATATAAATCCTGTTAGTTTCTTCTACAATGCTCCAGGGAAGCAGCCATCAGATGGGTTAATGGAGATTAAATGTGACTCAGATATGTTGACATTTTTAAAAGCTCATGAAGGGTTAGGGGTTGCTACTGTCTATGCCGAGAGTGACCAAAGTGGAAAAGTACTTGCAAGTAAAACTTTGTTGGCAATTGGGGATGAATCAAACAAGGCGTCAAGAGATCTACAGGTCAAACATGGTGTAATCTCCAAAGAGCCAATGAACATCCAAAATGCTAGTGGGGGACTACTGGGTATTGTTGAAGAGGAAATTGATTGGGAGGAATTGATAATCACTGGTGATAAATTCTGTGACTTTGAATATTCTCGATCAACCAGAGGGAAAGGATTTACCTATGGACAATCAGGTGAGGAAGATTTCGAATCTGAAATTGATGATAATGAGGTCCCTGATGAGGCATACGAAGGGATAGAGGGTTCGAGTGATGAAGATTGTGTTATAAAAAGGTCAAATGATGAGAGCACTAACAAGGAAATATACAAAAAAATGAAGCAAAAATGGAGAAAAAAGTTGAAGTTGAGAAAGACGTTCATGCAGTTCCTGGTAAAGATGACTACGTTAGTGGAAGTGGGCACATCTTGAACCCACCAGATGTACCCAAAAAAAGAGGTAGGCCCAAAAAAAATAGAAGAAAGGGGGTAGATGAAATCAAGCATGGTGCCATCAAAAGTAATGAACTTGTTTCTACTAGGAAGGGAGGGGGAATCACCTGTCGGAAGTGCCTTCAATCGGGGCACAACTGCATTCACTTCATTTTGAGCTCCACGTGCATTCTCATGTAAATAGCTCTCCTCAAATTCTCCATAGTTTCGAACAAACCAACCCATTACAGAGCTATCAATTGGCAGTGGGTCACCTCAAAATTCAGCCTTCAGTGGATGGCACCAAAGAAAAAACCCACAGTGATCACAAGTATAAAAAAGCCTACCTTTGTTTGGCTTCTCATGGTCAGTCACAACTCGAATTACACAATTTCTTGATTGAGGCAAACAATCACACTTTACTGTACCATAACGTAAATCTAATTCAGGCCTCGCCATCTTCAAGTTGGAAGAAATTGCTTTATATTGTCTCCTTGTCTCCTTCTTCACACGGTAGTTGGAAGTCGAAGAGGAAGATGTCATGGTCCGAAGAAATATCCAGTAGATTGAAAAGGGCGACTTCTTCACTTCTTGGCTAAATCAAGAAGATAATTTTAGGGAGGGTATTTTTGACAATTCCAATGGGCCGTTGCAAATCACAGTCGCAAATTTGGTGCGTGGGAGAAACGCACGTCGGATCTAGGGTTAGAGGACCACCTGTGCAATGCTTTGCATATTAGAGGGGTGATTGCTGCACTTTTAATTTTTTAGGGGTAAACCGTGCACTTTCGGAGAAGTTCGGGGGTAATCGGTGCACTTTTCTCATTAATAATAAGAAGCCAGAACCACTCAGATGACAAACTGAGCACAAGAGCTAACATAACTATTAAAGGGCAATATTGTCCCATTTGTGTAAAAATAAAAAATTTGGAGCGCCACAAGCAAACTTTGGAGCGCAGATATCATTGGCCTTTTCAAATGTAGCAAACAGTTTGAGATAGAGGGAGTACTTTTTATTTTGTGCATACTGCAAATTAAATGCCATAACACCCCGCAAGGCATACACTTCTTTTTTTTGGATGAACGCATATGCTTTTGTGTGTAAATTGGAAAACTCATACCAATATTCTTAAAATTGATTCGTTAAATGACACTATTGCATTAGAACCTGTTTGGGAATAGCATTAGCGATTAGCGTTAACGTTTTGAAAAACGCTGTCTACGGGCAGCGTTTAGCGTTAGCGTTTTCAAAGTAATTTGCACCGTTAAATTTTTACCCAAAACGCTAACGCTAATATCTAACGCTATTCCCAAACATGATCTTAGTACTTCTCTCAAAGTTTTCTCAAACTGATTTTTTTATTTGATAGACATAGAATGCGAAGTAGTAGAAATTGTTTTAGAACATTGTTATAATTTTCAATTTTTATTATCTATTTTTATAACTTTTATATCAAAGTAGGTGTGTGTGTAGGGGTGGGTTGGGAAAACTGAAAACTGAATCGAAATCGATTGAATTGTGCCAAAAAATAAATTGAACTGAAAGAACATTAACCGAATACAAAAAACTGAACCAAACTGTTTCCAAATTGTTCCATTTTTTGTTTTGGACTATGAAAACCAGACCGACTAAAAAAAATGTAAATTACAACCAAGAGTTCCAAGATGAGGAAAAAAATTAATCATTTTTGTTATGCCAAGCCTTCAATTTTTGTAGGTTTAGTTGTTTAAGTTGTTTCGTTATTGCATATTTAATTGTTTATTTTTTTTTAATTTAATTGTTTTGGTTATGGTAGGTCTCCTTTTGCCTTAATTTATTTTTGGATGTTAAAAATAAAATCAAAAGGTGTTGTGTATAGAACTCTAAGTTGCTTTGTTTTTTACATATTTAATTTTGAAGATGCTAGTTGAAGTTCGGAAATAATCTTTAGAATTTTAATTACATGTTGACTTGACTTTTTGGATTCTTTTTTATTATGAACAATTATGATATTACGAGGGCAAAGAATGTCGCTTTTGAACGCCTCTACAAGGATATTGAGGAGAAAGGCAGTGTTAATACACTGTTCCGGCTTGCTAAGGTGCGTGAGAGGAAGGCCCGGGATCTGGACCACATGAGATGTGTGAAGGGGAGCGATGGTAGAGTGTTAGTTGAGACTGCCAAAGTGGCTAAGCGCTGGAGGGAGTACTTTTGTGAACTCTTAAATACGGGAGGAGACTAGAGGCTAGTTCTTGATGAGCTGGGGCAGTCCGGGGCGTCTCGGGTGTATTGTCGACGCATTTGCCTGGGAGAGGTGGTTCGGGCTCTCCGAGGGATGCGTAGTGGGAGAGCTTTGGGACCAGATGAGATTCCGGTGGAGTTTTGGAAGCATACGGGCCGTGGTGCGTGGGTTTGGTTAACCAAACTCTTCAATGTTATCTTTCGGATAGCAAGGATGCCTGATGAGTGGAGGGAGAGTCTATTGGTCCCCTTGTTTAAAGGTAAAGGTGACATTCAGAGCTGCGAGAATTACAGAGGCATTAAACTCCTTAGCCACACCATGAAGGTTTGGGAGCGAGTCATTGAGTATAGGGTGCGGAAAGGGGTATGCATCTCTGAGAACCAATTTGGTTTCATGCGTGGCAGATCGACTACAGAGGCCATTCGCCTCGTGAGGAGGTTAATGGAAGAGTATAGGGCTATGAAGAAGGACCTTCATATGGTGTTTATTGATCTTGAGAAGGCGTACGATAGGGTGCCAAGGGAGGTCTTATGGAGGTGCCTAGAGACGAGAAGAGTTCTCATCGCGTACACTCGCGCGATCAAGGATATGTACGATGTGGCTATGACTAGGGTAAGGACCTCCGGGGGCGACTCTGAGTCATTCTCAGTAGGGATGGGGTTGCACCAGGGGTCTGCCCTTAGCCCTTTTTTGTTCGCTTTGGTGATGGACGTCCTAACTCAAGGTGTTCAAGAAGGGGTCCCATGGTGCATGCTTTTCGCGGATGACATCGTGCTTATCGACGACACACGTGAGGGACTAAACGATAAGTTGGAACGATGGCGCCTTGCCCTTGAGACTAAAGGATTCAGAATAAGTAGTAACAAGACTGAATACATGGAATGTCATTTCAGCGGCCGGGAAACAGAATCAGAAGTGGAAGTTAGGATTGACTCTCACGTAGTACCTAAGGTAAACAGGTTCCGATATCTTGGCTCGGTAATCCAGGCGGATGGGGAGTTAGACGGGGATGTTGGACATCGTGTTGGAGTGGCTTGGGCCAAATGGCGGTTGGCCTCAGGGGTGTTGTGTGACCCGAAGATTTCACCCAGGATGAAAGGTAAGTTCTACCGATCCGTAGTCAGACCTGCTATGTTATACGGGGCAGAGTGTTGGGCGGTTAAGAAGACTCATGTGCGTCGTATGCATGCGGCGGAGATGCGGATGTTACGATGGATGTGTGGGAAGACAAGGTTGGATAGGATTTCGAACGAAGTTATTCGATGTCACGTAGGCATGGCGCCGGTGGAAGATAAGTTGCGGGAAGCGAGGTTGAGATGGTTTGGGCATGTGAGACGGCGGGATGCTGATGCCCCTGTACGGAGGTGCGAGAGGATCACGGTTATCGGGGGAAGTAGGGGAAGGGGTAGACCTAGGAAGAATTGTAAGGAGGTGATTATGCAGGATTTAGGACTTCTCACCCTGACTGAGGATATGGCTTTAGATAGGAACCTTTGGTGGACTAGGATTAAAGTAGCTGGTTAGGAGCTCGGTGCTGCAGTGGTTTTTTGTAGTGTGTTGTGTTTGATTGGAATCTTCTACTTTTTCTTGCTGGACTTTCATTTCATTGTACTTGGTGCTTTATCCTGTTATATCCTGTTACCCTGTTATATTGTGTTCCCTACCATATTTTTTGTGCAGGTTGAGCCGGTGGTCTCTTGGAAACAGCCTCCCTACTTCCGAGTAAGGGCAAGGTCTGCGTACACACCCTTCCCAGACCCTACTGTAATGGGATTCAACTGGGTTGTTGTTGTTGTTGTTTGTTATGATATTACGTTGGTTATTTTAAATGTGAGCAAGTATGTACTCTATGAACTTCCTCAATTTGGGATTGCAATTGAAGTGTTAGGATAAATATTTGCAAGTGTTTGTAGTTTTTTTACAATTTTTTACCGAACCGCCAAATAACTTCTGTTTTGTCTTTAGTTTTAGGGAAAAATTAAATCAAAAAAACCAAATAATGTTATAGTAAATACCTTTTTGTCCAATTTCCAACCATAGCTTGTTATTTCATTTTAAAGTACTGAATTACTATAATTTGAGGACTTTGTTATAGTTAGCAAGCCAAATCATTTTTTGACATGCTTCGTAAAATATAGCACACCTTTGAAGAAGAACAAAATAGTTGACTTGCTATACTATAACTTTTAGCAAGACAAATTGATATGGTTGAAGATACTCTCATGTAATATATCAATCCATATCATAGTTCAATTGCAATTTTTAAAATTTTTATATTTCTCAGTAATAATATGAAGTAAAATTGTGCATTCTCACAAAAAAATCTATTGCACTCAACTTAATGAGAAATTTAATTTCATATTTCGCTCAAAATATTATAACATGAAAACTATTGTAATAAAAGCTCAAAGTAATCAAGTAGACCCACACACATTTCCTCATCTTTATGACCATCCGGATTAATTTTAGATACATTTTGAACCTGATTACTTGCCTGTAACAAAACAAACACACACAAAAACACTTAGTAATAACGCTAAGTGAGAAATATCTGACATTCGGTCATACATATGGACATAGCATAAACAACATAACATACATTTCATAGGTATTATGTTCTTGCTTGTTGCTTTAGTCACTTGAGCTATATACTCAATTTAGGCGCATAACATATTTTAGGGTAATGTTTGTTTATTCACAACTTACTTAAGAGTAATGACCTTCTCTTTTGGAACGAAGGTCACGCTCCACTAATGAAAGAGTTCATCGTTGGGTGGATGAGATCCTTATCCTTTTGGAACAATAGTTCACAGATTATCGTACATACATTTTTTACTCGGACTGTCACTAGCCTTAACAGGCATCACATGACGCAAGAATTTATGGCATAACGTGTCTCTATATAATTCAAGTCAGTCATAAAGTTCTTCTACGTGGACTAAGTTCCATCTTACCATTCTTCATCTATCTCATGCATAAACATTTATGAATATCAAACCATCATCAATATAATACACAAAACAGTCCAGCATTGAGTCTAGACACTCATACTTACAGTCATAGCATACACAAACTCTTAGATTCCATCATTGACGTGAGAAAATAGACAACATCCATGTTTTCAATATCATGACAAGAGCGGTATATGGGAACCGCCATCCAGTAGTAGACTAAGAACCCTATTTTGTCTCCATTATGCTAAATGTTGTCTCTCTTATACTAAACATCAAACGTGCGTGTGTGTGTGTGTATATATATATATATGGAAATGTTATCTTTATTATATGAATCATGAAAAAAAAGAAAATTTTCGATGATTATGAGAAACTTGATAATCACATACTTATGGTCCTCCAATGTAATATCCATCACCCTATCATGACCTCTTTTATCATATGGGCCTCTCTGGGTTGTTCGACTAACAACCTTTCCATTCACATCTGCAAGCATCGAAACATTAGACATAAGGTTTATGTCATATACCATATATGCGAGTTAATACAATAAGCAAAATAATGTAAAATATGCACACCAATTTATAAAACATCGTCAACAAAAGGCAGTGATTGTAATTCGTTAAATCCCATAGAACATGTGTTTCGATATATAATATATTCATTTTGGAAAATAAAATCATTGATCATCCATTGGTCAAGTTTTCTCCTACCAAAAGTTTCCCGAAAACCAATTTTTTTGGGTAATTTACCTAAATAGGACTAAAACATAATGACTTTCTCAATATAGGACCATATGTTTTTATTTCTCAATGTAGGACCTTTGGTCATTATCTATTAGTCATTATTCAACTAAATGTCCATCATTACTGGACATTATTCCTTCCACTAGGTCATTATTAAGTCCTATTTAGAGAATAAAAAAGTTTAAGTCCTACATTTGGAAAGTCATTATATATTAGTCCTATTTAGTACAAATTTCACAAAATTTTTTGTACATGAAAACTTAAAGAGAAATGGAACTTTAAACTTATTTAAATTTAGATAAATGTTTTTACTAGGATGCGCATGATACAATATTTAATTTGTACCTATGACGTACAAAATTTTTTGATTTGGTATGAGATTTTACGTTATACCGATTTCAGTCCTAAAATTTTACTTATAGTTCGAGATATATGGTTTTCTATGGGTTTTGGTACAAACTAGTATAAATACATTATTACCTAATTTATACTTAAAATGTAAAAAAATCATTTATTTTTGAAATAAAGAAATATAAGAAGCTAAAATAAACTCAAGAAATATTTGTGAAACTAGATATATATTGAGTGGGCACTACATATATATTGCGCCCGCACACTGCACCAGGGATCAAAGACCTCAACAATGCCAATTTTTTTTTAATTTTTTTTAATTTTTGAGATATAGTAATTCTATTTGAAGATTCTGTTTCAGTTATCAATTTGATCATTTATCACGGAGCATTATCATCACTCACATTATTATTGATTAATTAATCTTATATATACTTTACCAGGGAGATGACAGATTATTACGCTCTCTAACGTTATTTATCACTCTCCCCATTCAATTTTTAGATCTCTCTCTCTCTCTCTCTCTCTCTCTCAGAGAACGAAATTTATTCTTTTGGAGGGTTCGCTTTTTCAGCGATCTATCTCCTTGATTGCGATAAACCGCTCCGCAATCACATTTCCCGAAACCGTTTGTTGCGGCGGTCCACGTGATTTGCAGGCCGGGAGCTCTGATTTTGCTCCGCCATGGCGGCCGCCAACGCTCCGATCACTATGAAGGAGGCTCTCACGGTAACGAATTATACTACTATTGCCATAATCCCGGATCACATTTCTAGGTTATGCTATTGAGCATGAACTGATGATTTTCATAGCTATTATGATTGCTCGATTTGTGCTGCTAGTTACTTTAGAATTTTGAAATTGCTGGGATCTGTGGTGTGTCATTATTGACAGATCTGTGAACTTTAGAGTAGGAGGTGTGATGCTGTTTGTATGGAGTTTGATAAGGAAGTTTGTATTTTGTGATGTGTGTAATGCAGTTATCGAGCATAGGGGTTAATCCACAGTTTATCACATTTACAAATGTCACTATGGAATCGGACAAGTTCATCTGTGTCAGGGAGACTGCCCCTCAAAGTAGTGTCGTGATCATTGATATGAACGCCCCAATGCAGCCTATGAGACGACCTGTTACAGCAGATTCAGCTCTTATGAATCCTGCATCCAGAATATTGGCTTTGAAAGGTATCTGATATTGGTTTCTGGTCCAGCAGATTCTTCCTCTGGCATCTATACAACTATACAAGTATGGGAACTGCATATAATGCGCATACATCAATATATACTTGAGATATTGGTTTCAGATTGTATGCAATTTATGCCTTAGTTGTCCCTAATCATCTCCTTTATGTGTGGGAAAAACTTAGAGTTAGTGGAAAAGAAGTCATTAACATGTGGAAAGATCAAACCGAGAGAGCTGAGAGGATTTGTTTTAGGTTCACTAGATGGGACTGGGGGAATTTAAGCATCATTTCATTTTGAAATAATGGCCTAATAGGGAATTTTTGATTAAGGCATTTTGAGTGCTTTGATTTTTATATACGCCTAAGAATTCTTCCTCCTTTGTGAAGCCCAAGTTTCAGGAACTACTCAAGATCATTTACAAATATTCAATATTGATGCAAAACAAAAAATTAAATCATACCAGATGCCTGAACAGGTACACATTTGCCACAACAAACAATTTGGTATGTGTTTTTTGAACTACATGTTTTGCTTACTACTGTTCTTCATCCTAACTATTGTGAGTGTTGTGGACTTGTGGTATGCTTTCAATACACTTTATCTATAGGTTGTTTTCTGGAAGTGGATTACACCAAAGCTGCTAGGTCTAGTCACACAAACCTCTGTTTATCATTGGCCAATTGAAGGTATGTTAGATTTATGTCTCGTTATATTGTCCTCTTGGGATTTTACTGGGTTTGTTGTTGTTGTTGTTGCTGTACATTGTCCTCTTCCTCCCTTCTTTAGTTATGCTAAATTTACTCTGGCTTTGTTAGGTGATTCTGAGCCAGTAAAGATGTTTGATAGAACGGCAAATTTGACAAACAACCAGATAATCAATTATCGATGTGATCCTACAGAGAAATGGTTGGTTTTGATTGGGATTGCTCCAGGTTCACCAGAGGTTTGTGTTCTTATGATTCTTTAGAAATGTTATCCATGATTTGTAGCGAAAGTTTTGAATGATTTGTATACATCTAAAACATTGCCACTTATTTTTTCAATATTCAAATACTGTTTGCGTGAACAGAGGCCTCAACTTGTTAAAGGGAACATGCAACTATTTTCAGTGGATCAGCAGTGCAGTCAAGCTCTTGAATCCCATGCTGCGGCATTTGCCACTTTTAGAGTGAGAAATACACCTTGCAATTCCTCAAATTTTGCATCTGCCTCCACTTTTCTTGTTGACTGGTGTGCATCTTGTACTCAGGTGATAGTAAATGACAAGGACTCTATTCTGATTGCTTTTGCAACAAAAAGCTCAAATGCTGGTCAGATCACATCAAAATTGCATGTCATTGAGCTAGGAGCCCAACCAGGTTCTTTTCTTCATGTCTCAATTGTAATCTCTACGACGTCAAGCATTGTAATTTCTAATCGTGAGAGCCTTTTTGGTATAGTTTTTTCTGACGGACCTTCCATCTTTGTACCCATCTCACCTCATAAAAATGCTTGGTGATGAAATCTTAGAAGGCTAAGCATTTACTGTTCCATGCATTATTTACAATGTTTTTACTAATTCTTATGTTCATTTTCTGTGTTACTGTTATGATCAGGAAAACCGTCCTTTACAAAGAAACAGGCAGATCTTTTCTTTCCTCCTGACTTTGCTGATGATTTCCCAGTTGCGATGCAGGTATTCTTGATTTTTCTTTGTTATAAAAGCCATATTTTCTTGCAAGTGTTAGCAGACTAATTATACAGTAACATGTTTTTGTGCAGATATCACATAAATACAGTTTAATTTATGTAATTACGAAGCTTGGACTTCTATTTGTCTATGACCTTGAAACGGCTACTGCAGTATACAGAAATAGGATCAGTCCAGACCCTATTTTTTTGACGGCAGAAGCTTCATCTGTGGGGGGTTTCTATGCTATCAATAGGCGAGGCCAGGTGTTGCTTGCCACAGTGAATGAAGCAACACTTGTGCCCTTTGTTAGTGGCCAAGTAGGTGAACTCTTTCTCTGTTATTCTAGTATTAGAAATATGATACAAATTTTAACGTGAAATCTGTAAACTGATATGTATTTGCAGTTGAATAATCTGGAACTTGCTGTCAATCTTGCCAAGAGAGGAAACCTTCCTGGTGCTGAGAATCTGGTCAGTTGGTGTTTCTCACCTTGAGCTTTCTGTACTTTGGAATTTCATCCCCATCCTTTAAAAATAGTGGTTTCAATGGGATAAGACATTTACACATCTCAATTTTCAGGTGGTAAAGCGTTTCCAGGAGTTATTTGCCCAGGCTAAGTATAAAGAGGCAGCCGAGCTTGCTGCAGAGTCTCCCCAAGGCATCCTTCGCACTTCTGATACTGTTGCCAAGTTCCAGGTAATTTTCATTTGCTCACCCCAAGTTCAAGTGTGACATTATTTAAGTTTGTGTTTCAGATTTTGTATTGCCATTCGATCCTATTGAAGTGCTAAGTGCCCACAACCAATGAGGTAGAATAATTTTTCATGATAGTCTTTATCTCAAGTAACTCGGGTTGGCTACATGAACTAATAAGAGAATCATGTTTGGTCATTCCCAAAAGCTCTCTCTCTCTCCCTCCATTTCCTTCTATCAATAGCCACACCCTTATCTAAATTCACATTAGACAAATCACTCCTAATCACTTCTTTCCACGTCCTGGGTCTTCCTCTCTTGCAAAAATCATTTCTCCATCCATGAAGGTCTTTGTATTTGTCCAAAGTACCACCATTCAATTCTATCACAATTTATCTGTGATAGATGCCACTCCACCCTTTTTTTGAATGATCACTTTCCTTATTATATCCTCCATAGTCCCTAGTATGCCCAAATATTCATTGAAATATATGCATTTCAGTTACCCACATTTTCGTAATATGACACTTCTTAGCAGTCAACATTTTGAGCCTTTCAAGGTTTGTTCTCCGAGGCATGTTTTCTCCGGACTCTAACCTAACACTCCATGCTTTAGATTTCTATTCTAAAACATAGTGCCTCTGTCCCAGAGTAGGGGCAAGGTCTGCATACGCACGCCCCCACAGACCCTACTTTCGTGGGGGTTTACTGGGTTGTCGTTGTCCCAGAGTATTTGTCCAGTTTGACTTTTAAATTGGACAAAGAGTGATCATCAATTAAATAAAATGGTATAGGATATTAGTTCAAAAAGGATTTCATTAGATTTATCTTGCGGAAAGTTATTAGAAACTTATTTCATTGTATTAATATGCAATGCAATTTTTCTGTAATTGATGATTAAAGTCTTTCGGAGTTTGACATGAAAAAGCCAAACATGACGAAGACTATGGAACGGAGGGAGTACTAATTTAAGACTTCCCACTTAAGACTCTAGACTTCACTCAAGAAATAAGTTTAGAGAACAAACCCATAATGGTGCTGGTTGAATTGTTATTATGTAGAACTTTTCTTTTAGCTTTAATGTTATATACCACGGCTACAAACTACTCCATTTGCACTCCACTTCAACCAACCCACCTTTAGGCGATGTTCATCTCTATCTAATTTTCCATCTTTTTGTTTAAATGAATCAATATATGTGAAATGATCAATACCTATGAAACAATTTCTCATGATAGTATATTATTTTTTATTGTGTTTTGCTCTGTTTGTCTAATGCATCTCATCACTACCATGCTGTCACCCTATTAAACTGGCCATCAGTGAATCTACATTGAAGTATTGATTATTGAACATATCTACAAGATCCTAATTGTTTCTCTCTAGGTTTGTCCTAAACCAGCACCACGATGTGTTTTATTTTTATCAAAAGTATTTCTAGCGTGGTCCATTGTAGAATATTTATGATAGGGCCCATTACAAGGTTCTCCCTCTGCTATCTTCATCTTTCCTTTTTGGTTTGTCCCTACTCCCTAATTAGTATTCCTGCTTTTTAAGAGAATAGTTGTATGGTCCATATTAATTCCACTACAATCACTCGAGGTTTACATCACCTCGAGATTCATACAACTCATTCTACGATTTGAATCCTTAGGGTTAGTTTTTGTATTGTATTGAATTTCATAGTCTATGGACAACATATGATTCTTTAATTTCTTTATAAATCTTAACCTTACACCTTCATTTGTTTAACTCCGTGTAAAAAGAAAATAGGAGCATTACAAAGCGACGGAGGGAGTATTTATTAAATGGCTTATTGGCTTTTATTGTAATCTCACTAATCTTTGATCTTGACCATTTCAGTATCGTACTCCTTTTTCAGCACTTATTGTTCAGCTCATAACTTCTCAATTTAGCATGTTTCATTTTGTAGTTGTTTGATACAGTTTGCAATTTGCATATCATGTATAGAAGCTGTAGGAATTTTCATAAATTTCTGCACTATCGTGGGATCCAACTGGGTCGTGGTTGTTGTTGTAAATTTCTGCACTATAATCTATACCATCAACTGATTATTCCTGAAAGAAATAGGATCAATGTGATTAGTAAACACTTACAAATATGTTTTTCTTGTTTGTAGAGTGTTCCCTTTCAAGCAGGACAAACACCGCCATTGCTTCAGTACTTTGGGACACTTTTAACTAGAGGAAAACTTAATGCATTTGAGTCATTGGAACTTTCACGCCTTGTTGTGAACCAAAATAAAAAGAACCTCCTGGAGAACTGGTTGGCAGAGGATAAGCTGGAGTGCAGCGAGGAACTTGGGGACTTAGTAAAGGTTATTTTAACATCAACAATATACCTGGCTTAAAGTGGTCTCGTCATTTTAAGTTCAATTTTCTCTGTTATGTTTTATTATGCTTAATTGAAACTTTTTTTCTGAACGTGACATTTTTGTTAATCCTCAGTTATTCTAATATTAAAACCTCTGTAGACTGTGGATAGTGCCCTGGCATTGAAGATATACATCAAAGCGAGGGCAACTCCAAAAGTTGTTGCAGCATTTGCTGAACGCAGGGAATTTGACAAGATTTTGATATACTCCAAGCAGGTTAGCACCATGTGGTCATACATCCCATATATTCCTCTCACATGAATTCAGCATCTCAAAATTTTTCATTGAAGAGCTAAATTCTCTCACATCTAGGGATAAGGTGGACATAGTCTTTCTTCAACAGTCAGTGATAAGAACATAAAATGTACCATAAAACTCTGGTTTCTGCTGTACAGGTTGGATATACACCTGACTATCTTTTCCTCCTGCAAACAATTCTCCGATCTGATCCTCAGGTAAAAGCGTAAAGCACTTAGTGTGATTTTTGCACATGATATGCATATCTATTTTTCTTAGTCTGTTCTCCCCATGAAGTTCTCAATGTACCTTTTCCTAGTGTTGTGTTTACCCAACTTAAATTGCTTTGCTGATTATTAATGATTCTTTGGCACGGTTCAGAACTTAACCATTTCTCTTCCTAAGCAAATGAATGAAATGTAATTACTGTGTGAAGGGTTCCTTATGCTGATGTAGCTAAACTAACTTTATATCTCATAATTGCAGGGAGCTGTAAATTTTTCCCTTATGATGTCCCAAATGGAAGGGGGCTGTCCTGTTGATTACAACACAATAACTGATCTGTTTCTTCAGGTTTGTACGTTTATATTGTTTTTGGCATAGAAGACCGATTTTTTGTGTTAGAGAAATGCTCTTATCCTGTAAGGGATGAACAATGGTCATTTTTAATGAGAAGTTTTTATCAGAGGAACATGATTCGTGAGGCTACGGAATTTTTACTGGATGTTCTGAAACCAAACCTTCCAGAGCATGGTTATCTGCAAACAAAGGTTGTATCTTGTGCAATAATTGCTATGAAACTTGTCTTGTTTTGGGTATGTTGGGTTCATCATCATAGTGACTTAAAATCTTGATTCAGGTGTTAGAGATAAATCTTGTCACTTTCCCAAATGTGGCGGCTGCAATTTTAGCAAACGGAATGTTTAGCCACTATGATCGTCCACGAATTGCTCAACTTTGTGAAAAAGCCGGCCTTTATGTGCAAGCTCTCCAGGTATATTCTTTCCCATCTTTAATTGTTTATTTATATTTCCTTTTTCACTGCAATTGGCTTGTGGGTCTTATTTTATTTTCTTTTTTCTGTTTTGTTGCTTTTCTTCAAATCTAAACCATGCAGTTTGGTGCTTTTTTTTGCAGCACTACAATGAACTCCCCGATATTAAGCGCGTCATTGTGAATACACATGCAATTGAGCCTCAGGTTGGGAATAATTAATATATTGCACATGCTTCCATATTGTGGCAGGCTGACAGTTATTAAACAAACTAACTTTATTTTGTTGAGTAGTCTCTGGTCGAATTTTTTGGTACACTATCACGTGAGTGGGCGTTGGAGTGCATGAAGGATCTTTTACTGATTAATCTTAAGGGAAACCTTCAGATTATTGTTCAGGTATACACTCATATCCTCTAACGTGCTTTTACATGACATTGTTGTTGAATAACGCAGAGACTCACAAACAAGTGAGGTACGTCAATATACAAAGTGACTTTTCTTCATTCATTGTAGTGATTGTGCTTGTTGCATTATGCAGGTTGCAAAAGAATACTGTGAACAGTTGGGTCTTGATGCATGCATAAAACTTTTTGAGCAATTCAAGTCATTTGATGGATTGTATTTCTTCCTAGGATCATACTTGAGTTTAAGGCATGTGTGTTGCAAAGAGAAATCTGCTACTGTCTAAAATGTTCACTAGTAGTACTAGTATTTACTTGTTATTGTATGTATTTGCATGCAGTGAGGATCGTGAAATTCACTTCAAGTACATTGAGGCGGCTGCTAAGACGGGACAAATCAAGGAGGTTGAACGTGTTACAAGAGAGTCCACTTTCTATGACCCCGAAAAAACAAAGAACTTTTTGATGGAAGCCAAACTTCCTGATGCCCGACCTCTGATTAATGTATGTGACCGCTTTGGTTTTGTTCCAGACCTCACTCACTATCTATACACAAATAACATGCTAAGGTACATTGAAGGTTACGTCCAAAAGGTACTATCCTCATACCACACTTATTACCAACAGATTTTCGCTTTTCTATTTTTTCAAGTTTTGTTCATTGTAGGTAAATTGTTGTCCATTGGCAGGTTAATCCCGGAAATGCTCCATTAGTTGTTGGACAGCTTCTGGATGATGAGTGCCCTGAAGATTTCATCAAGGGTTTGATCCTATCTGTACGATCTCTGCTTCCAGTTGAGCCCTTGGTTGAAGAATGTGAGAAAAGGTAAAGATGTCTTCTCTTCATTCTTTATTCACAGTCTTTGTTAATTTTCCCATCTTTGCTTCTCATGACTTTCAGGAATCGTCTTCGGCTGCTTACTCAATTTTTGGAGCATCTAGTGAGTGAAGGGAGCCAAGATGTGCATGTTCACAATGCACTGGGTAAAATCATAATTGACAGCAACAACAACCCAGAGCACTTCCTTACAACCAACCCATATTACGATTCACGTGTTGTGGGTAAATATTGTGAGAAGCGTGATCCCACTCTTGCTGTTGTTGCATACCGGAGAGGGCAGTGTGATGATGAGCTTATTAATGTAACTAGCAAAAACTCATTGTTCAAGCTTCAGGCCAGGTTCAATGTTGATTCAGTTATTACTCCGTATTAAGTAACCAGTTCCTTGATGACATTTGGATTTGATCCCCATCTATTTTTTTTGTTTGAAATTCACTGTTTCTTTAGGTATGTAGTGGAAAGGATGGATGGTGATCTTTGGGAGAAGGTTCTGAACTCTGAAAATGAATTCAGAAGGCTGCTTATCGATCAAGTCGTATCGACTGCTCTTCCTGAAAGTAAGAGCCCAGAACAAGTGTCTGCAGCAGTCAAAGCATTCATGACTGCTGATCTTCCACACGAGTTAATTGAGCTTCTTGAAAAGATAGTTCTCCAAAACTCTTCTTTCAGCGGGAACTTCAATTTGCAGAACTTGCTTATCTTGACTGCCATTAAAGCAGACTCTTCTAGGGTTATGGACTACATAAACAGACTTGATAACTTTGATGGACCTGCAGTTGGTGAAGTGGCTGTTGAGGCCCAACTGTATGAAGAAGCTTTTGCAATTTTCAAAAAGTTCAACTTGAATGTCCAGGCTGTGGGAGTTCTTCTAGATAATGTTAGGGACATTAACCGGGCTGTGGAGTTTGCTTTCCGTGTTGAAGAAGATGCAGTGTGGAGTCAGGTTGCCATTGCTCAGCTTAGAGAGGGATTAATTAGTGATGCTATTGAGTCATTCATTCGTGCAGAGGACGCCACCCACTTCTTGGAAGTTATCCGTGCTGCTCAGGACGCGGATGTTTATAATGACTTGGTGAAGTATCTGTTGATGGTAAGGCAGAGAACAAAGGAACCCAAGGTTGACAGTGAACTTATCTGTGCATATGCCAAAATTGATCGGCTGGGTGAGATAGAGGAATTTATTCTCATGCCGAATGTTGCTAATCTGCCCAATGTTGGTGATCGTTTGTTTGAAGAAGGTTTATATGAAGCTGCAAAGATAATTTTTGCCTTTATTTCTAATTGGGGAAAACTGGCAAGCACGCTTGTAAGGTTGAAGCAGTTCCAAGGTGCCGTTGATGCTGCTCGCAAGGCAAATAGTGCAAAGACGTGGAAAGATGTCTGCTTTGCTTGTGTCGATGCTGAGGAGTTCCGATTGGCTCAGATTTGTGGGCTTAACATTATTGTGCAGGTATTGTTTTATGTCCTTGTTAAGGCACCTTTAAAATGAATCAATGGTCCTTTTCATAAGGCATTATTTTTCGAATGAAGCATTTATTTTTTTTATTTTCAATCCTTTGGCCCTAATAATTTTTGTGTTCATATTTATTTTGTTAAAGTATCTGTTTACTTGTCTTAGTTACTACTTGTTGGTCACTGTGTCTGCCTCTTTTGTATTAGGTTGTTTTTTAAAATATTTTTATTACCTAGTTTATCGTTACTCTTTCCTTCTTTCACCCCATAATTATCACTCCTTTCTTTTTTATGAAAAACAATGTGGTTCACGACTTCACGCTATTTCTCTCTTCCAAATGAATTCAACTCCATATTTCATCATCTTGAATTAATTTAATACTTTTATAGTTTTATAAGATTTGTGATGTTTGTGTTTCAATATTCAAGTCTTTTTTCTTATATGAAAAAATTAGAGAAAATTGCAAGTATCTTTAGTCTTTCCTGGGTTGTGTCTTATATTAAGTATTATTTTCTCGTTAATTCTCATCTCAAAACAAAATCTGGATTTCTAATGCTGAATCTGTTTTTGCAGGTGGATGACCTAGAAGAAGTGAGTGAGTACTATCAAAACCGAGGATGCTTCAATGAATTAATATCTCTTATGGAGAGCGGGCTAGGATTGGAGCGTGCACATATGGGTATCTTCACCGAGCTTGGTGTATTGTATGCCAGATACCGACATGAGAAGCTGATGGAACACATCAAATTGTTCTCAAGCCGTCTAAACATTCCTAAACTTATCCGAGCATGTGATGAGCAGCAACATTGGAAGGAGCTGACTTATCTCTACATCCAATATGATGAATTCGATAATGCTGCAACTACTGTCATGAACCATTCACCAGATGCTTGGGATCACATGCAGTTCAAGGATATTGTCGTTAAAGTTTCCAATGTTGAGCTCTATTACAAGGCTGTTCACTTCTATCTGCAAGAACATCCTGACCTGATTAATGATCTTCTAAATGTCCTCGCCCTAAAGGTGGACCACACACGTGTGGTAGACATTCTTAGAAAGGTAAAATATATTATTAATTAACCTTCCTACTTCCTAGATATGTTTTGTGCTCAAATAATTATTGGTGGATTGCTTTTTTGTCCCTCAAACATTTAGCTTTAACAATTCTAGTCCATGAAAATATTCCATTTTTGCGAGACTTATTAATTCTACTGTTGGTGCACGGATATGAATTTTGTTTGTTACTGTTGGTTCGTCTGATCATTTATTTGGTCAATTTACGTACAATTTCAGTTGTTAATTTACTGGACAAGTGACCAAAAAGGACCACAAGTGGAAAAAATTGAATGCTAGGGACCACATAACTGAGATTGACCTTAGAGTCATGGACCAAAAGTGGAAAATATTGAATGCCAGTGACCATAGATGGGATTGACCTAAGAGTCACGGACCGACTAAAGTGGAATATTTTCTTGAGTCCATTGTTAATTCTTGCAAAAGAATCCTGGTTATACCACGTAAGACCGAAAGTTAATGACTACCCACAAAAGTTGCTAAAGCTACATAATTGAGGGACTAAAATACGACGTAACCAATTTATATTGATTTTGACTTTAATGCTTAACTATTTGTGATGTTTTTAAAATAAAAATAGGCCGGCCACTTGCGTCTGGTGAAGCCATATATGGTTGCTGTTCAGAGCAACAACGTTTCCGCTGTTAACGAGGCCCTTAATGAGATATATGTTGAGGAAGAGGACTATGATAGACTACGAGAATCTATTGAATTACATGACAGCTTTGATCAAATCGGCCTTGCACAGAAGGTGGTGAAAACTTGATGTATCATTATATATCTTCTACTTATTAATCTGTTCAGCATACTAAATCAGTAAAGCTTTTTTTCCCTCTGCTACCAGATTGAGAAACATGAGCTTCTTGAGATGAGGCGTGTTGCTGCTTCTATTTACAAGAAGGCAGGTCGGTGGAAGCAATCCATTGCTCTTTCCAAGAAAGATAATCTATACAAAGATGCCATGGAGACGGCCTCACAATCTGGGGATCGTGAACTTGCTGAGGAGTTGCTTGTTTATTTCATTGATCAGGTAACAACATTAACCTTTTCTTTTTCATTTCACATGTTAATAAAATCTTCCTCTATCTCAAAATAACCATCTTATTTCAACTGAAGAACATACATTTCAATCAATTTAGTTGATTTTTTCAAGAAAAGTCCAAAACATATTCGGTATGCTAAGTATGTTAAATTTAATTTTGAATCCATAAATATAATTAGGATTTGTAATTTACAAGTATTGTACCTTACCAATACAACAATGCTAGAAGACTGCCTTGATGAAACAGTATTTGCTTCAGCAAAGGACACTAGATTACTGGAAGTTAAATAGTTGGATCTAAGCAATGTGTTTGCTACATTTTTTTGCAGGGAAAGAAAGAGTGCTTTGCCTCATGCCTCTTTGTATGTTATGATTTGATCCGCCCAGATGTTGCTCTTGAGCTCGCCTGGATCAATAAAATGATAGACTTTGCCTTCCCTTACCTGTTACAGGTCACTCATTCTTTTGCTCTCACCTCCCAGATTGATTAATTTTGAGTTATTATATTCTCCCTTTGTTGCGCTATTTTTGTCCCTTTTATGCGTTCATCTGTTCATATCTGTCCCACTAATTTCATCTCATACCATATTTACTAACATTTAGCACAACCCTATAGCACAAGCCAATGAGTGCATTGAAATTAAATTCTGGACATATTCAGTAATTTGCCCTAATTTTAAAGGAATGAAAGAGAACCTTTTTGCCAGCATCTGAACAGTCTCTTGGGGTTGTTTCTCTTGCAGTTCATTCGTGAGTATACAGGCAAAGTTGATGAACTAATCAAAGACAAAATCGAGGCACAAAATGAAGCAAAGGCAAAGCAAAATGAAGAAAATGATATTATGAAACAACAGGTACTTGTTTTTATACATATATTTCTTTATTGGATTTGCATTGTAATAATAAAAACATACAATTTGTTGCAGAATATGTACGCTCAGCTGCTCCCGCTTGCTTTACCCGCGCCACCAATGCCAGGAATGAGTGGGGCTTATGGTGGACAGCCACCACCCATGGGGGGTAGTGTGGGGATGCCACCACCATTTGGCATGCCACCCATGGCTCCATACTAACCTGCAGGCATATACACTCTACACGATTGTTTACCAAAATATGATTATGAGGACAGAGTCGGAAGCCAAATATTCAGGTCCTTTTTTCCTTCAATTTTTTCCTAGATTTACTTGCTCAATTTCCTGCATTGTATTAATGGGAGACTACTTTAGAAATAATCTCTGGCTTGTGCTATAGGGTTGTGTTGATATATATAATGCATTTTGTAATATTCGTTTAGAAGAGGCAATTTTTTTGCAGTTAGGGGACAAGCTGAGGATGTGATTGTCTTTTTGCTTGCCTGATTATTAGCCCAACTTTGTACTTAATTTTGTGGTTTGAGACATTGAAAGCCTTTTTCTCTTTGTATATATGATTGATGGTTGATATATATGTCCCAGTTTCTAATTGCTCTTCTATTTTTGTAGCTTTGATCTCATTTACTTTACACTTCCCCTTTTTTAAAAGAACCTGAAAAGAATTCAGGTTCTCAGACGTTTTTATTTTCTTGAAAATAGTTGATAGCATTTCGCTATCCCCTGCGTGTGTGGATAGGTCATGTTTGGCAATCTCGATTAACTACTGTTTTTAATGAGATTATGTAACTAATATGAAAGTAATGCTAGAGTCATAAACAATTGAGAAAAACTACACAAACTTGTTATTTGTATGTACATTTTTATTTTTTAAATATTTAAAATTAATTTATTCACTTGGAGAAGTGTACAAATGTCAAGTTTGAATAGTTTGTGTTCTAGTTGTTTGTTGTGTTAGTTTGATGGCAAAGTAGTCAATTATTACAAAACATATTCTTCTTCTATCTTTAGGCAAATGAAAAAAGACTTGATCTTTATGTTTAAAAGACATAATGATTATTTCAGAATGACATATGATAAATGTTGGAAATTACATTATTAAAAAAGTATAGATAGTTTTAATAGTCATTTTGTTTTATTATATTTATAATATAATTCAAAGCCAAGAAATAGTGAATCTTGGGCTTCATATGAGATGATGGAAAAGAAATGTCAATTCTTATCATAAAATAAATTACTACAAAAATGTGAAACAGCTAGTTAATTCGTGTTTCCAATGATCAATTGTTTTTGACCTGCAAAAGGGTAACTTTTTATAACATTGCGTTTGTATATGGGGTTATTTGAAATATACTGTACTTCGTATGTTTGTATTTCTGATTTAAAAGTAATTAGTTTCTTCATGTAATAAAAAATTAAGTAATTTGTTATTAAGGAGATTAATTTGTTCCATTATCGTTTGGCAATCATTTAGAATTCACAATTCTAGACTTCCCAAATTGGAATCCTACTTAAATTTAGGACATAATGCTACTGCCTTCTCACTCTCCATCTTCATACTCCCCCCCTCCTAAAATTAACCTTCTAGTTTGATTTTTGTAGTCAAACTTTTTAAATTTTGACCGTATATTACGAAAAAAATACATTGAATTTTCATATAAATTTATTAGCAATACATTCATTTTGAAACATAGTTTTGAAATCTATAATTTTTATAAAATATATTTATATAAAAATTGAGATATTGATGGTCAAAGTATCGCATTGAAGACCATGAAAAGTCAAATGGTAAGTTAATTTTATGACGGAGGGAGTAATTTTTAATTATGAACTTATATGAATAAGAACAAAACCTTTATAACTAAAATAAAAATGCTAATAATGTCACTTTTTATTTTCTAAAAAAATACATTTATTAATTAAAAAAATTATTTAATGCCGGAATTATCTATTTTTCCGTCTCGAAATTTCTTCGATCAAGTCGGCTTAGAGTGTAGCCTGATTTCATTCCTCATGCATAGTAGCATGTCGATTTCCCAATTCTTGTCATTGGAGGTGGTCATTGAGTCGGTAGACCTCGGGCAACGGTCATCCTAGAAGTAGACATGCCATGTGTCCCCCATCATCTCAAAAACGAGTAATGTTCTCTCCTCCGTCTTCGACTATCATATTATGCAGTATAATACATGTAAATATGGTGTTCGAGATGAACGATCAGCACCACGAGGTGCAACGTGAGGCTTTCACTATTGCTCACCGCGATTATAGGACTTAAGACTCACGCTCCACATCTCTCCATGCCGACTCTTGTTTCTATATGAACAATGTCCTCTTTAGATTTATAAGACACATGATAGTTTTCACAAATCTTAGCTACCGTAAAAAATTATATGATTGGTATTAATTTTAGAAAGTAAAAAAGTACTCTGAATCTCACCATTTTTTGTACAATCTTTCTTATCCCGACTAAAATTCCTGACTATTTTCTCTCATTGTTAACATGTTACATTAACTTGCTTATAATCCCCAGAAATTTTGTTCTTCCCACACGCTTAAGGTGCATAATGACCTACAAGGAAAGAACCCTGTGTGATCAAGAAGTAGTTGATTAAAGAATTACTCATATATTTATCTTTGCAGACAGAGTGTTACTCAAACCTTCATGAAGTCATAATTGTCATTTCATTCCCATTGTTAAATGTAAGAACTTCTAACCGATCACCGAAATGTTCAATTCTTTTGGAAGATGTTGATGTAAAACGGCTTCCATAGTTATCAAACCTCCAACAAAATAACTTTAATAAAGAAATCAACCAAAGAAAGCATGAATCGAATGAAACTAAGAGTTCAAATAATTTACATAAGCTTTACCGTTCGAATTGATCGAATAAAAAATGCAAACCGTTCGATTTGCAAGCGAACACCTTCTTGGAGGTTGGTTCATAGCCCTATTCCTTCGCCTTGTCCTAGGTCTCAGTCGAGTGTTGATGTGTGTTGACGCGATTGAGAGCCAATCGTAGATATGTGAGGTATGAAGAAGTTTGCAATATATAAAAGTATATTATTAGCCCTCCATTTAGCATCGTTGGAACACACAATGATAGCAGAAAGAATAAACGTGAAATGATAATTAATAACTTCAAATATGAAAAAAGATTAAATTAAAAGTAAAACATAAAAAATATAAATAAAAAGCGGAGCTTAGAGCTTGTTTGGGAGTGATTAACTTCTGGATAAAGTGATTTTCACAAAAGCTGAAAACAAAAGCACCTCATACTTGCTTCTCCAAAACGATGTTCTTTGTATAAAATAGTGGTGGTGAAAAGCAAAAGCTGACATACAAAACAGAATAAAATCACTTCTACTCAAACAGAAACTAAACTACTAAAAGCAACGCACTGCCAAACACCCTTATAATGTTTTTACTTTCAAAATTAGAGTTAAAATGTACTTCATATACATACCAATCATGCCAATATATAATATGGAGTATAAAAAATATATCATGATATATCTGTATATAGTGTAAATCTTTATTTTGTCATAAAGATATGAAATTTTTATTTTTATTCTTTCTTTATTTAATTTTACTTTTATTTAGGATAATTTTACTTAAAAATATTATATTTGGTAGCCGAAGACTAAATATATAAAACCATAATTTAAAAAATTTACTAGAAAAAATATTCTAAGAATTAGGGGATAATTGTTACATCCTCTCCGCGCCGTTCATTCATTTGGGATTTGCGAAGAAGAACAGCGCAGCATATGGTTCCGTTCGATGGCTATTTCTTTCCCCAGCTTCAATCCAATCGTACGCCTCCTCACCCACACTTGCTCGTTTTCTTAATCTACGAAACATTTATTTATTTAATCACTTTTATCCTCTGGTGATTTTATTCACAAATATGATAGATTTGGTCATTTTGGTGTTTGTGAATGGAAAAAGATTTGATTTTTCCCCATTTTTGGGTAGGAAATTGGGTTTCTTGATCTTGTTCTTCCCCCTTTTCATATGGGTTGAGCTTCAATTAGGATCCCATGAATCTATTTGCAAGACTTGATTTTTTGCTCTAAAAGAGGTTAATTTACTCATTCCCAGTAGCTAATTTCATCAAGATTATGCAATATATCATTCTTGAATTTCATTGGTTCAGATGATTTTGATCCGTTGTTTAGGCAATCATTGTTTGTTTTAAGTTGGTTCAATGCTTCTGATTAAAGTATCATCTCTTGCCAATCAAAGCTGCAGGGAAAGGGAATGAGTGTCCACAAGTTTCTTCGTTTCACTTATCCCTCGCATAAGGCGTTGTTTGGCAGGGATCTGAAGGAGAACAAGAGGAATTCAAATTCAAGAGTCGCAAATAACGACCCTTCGTCCGGAGAGAACAAACCGACAACCGACTCGTCACCTTCTTCCCCTGCAAAACCATCCTTTAAAAAGTCTTCTCCTCTAACAGTTAGAGACAAACTCAGGGCTGCTCGTGTTCTCAACCGTTACAATGAGCCAAACACGGCCTTAGATAAACCGGTGATGGGAAACAAACTGTTTGATGTTTTGCGCGAGGCTGAAAAGGGGAAGAAGAGAGGCCTCCCGGAGGCGCCAAATAATCTATTCGACGATGAAAACCGTGGGCTTCCGAAGCCAGGGTTGACTTTCGACTTCCCGGGAGGGTTTGACCTTTTCCTTATTGCGTTTTCGTTTGTTTTCATCAGCACGGTCATGTTTGGCACGACGTACATTGTGTGGAAAATTGGTGCCATTCATTTCAATGAGTACTAGTTGAGGTGTGTTTGTGATACATATCTTATATAATATGGATTAATTAACAACTTTTAGCTATCATGTAGCATTTCAATTGAATTTAGTTTAGATTAGTTCAGTAAATTTCAAACGAAAAAGAGCTCTCTTTTGTTGTCTGGGTAATGTGACATTGCACTCATATATAGTTCCTATGAAAAATCAAAAGAAATAAAATGTCCCAGGGACTCTTAACAAATGCCTCTTATGTCACACTATTCTCAATTGTGATATAAGTTCCAATTTCCAAATTGTAGTTTCAAACCATACTTGGTACAGAGTAAGATACTCCGTATGTGTTAAGATCAATTGGTACTTTACAAATTCAACATCAACAGTATGAATTCAGAAATATTGTAAAGTTTGTAATAGAAGTGAAAAAAATTGTAAGAATAAACACAACTATTACGGGTTATGTGTTCAATCTTTCTCAAATAGTCACGGCCTCACGGGTACGATGACCAAGCCGACCCGTAACCCATTGTTCCGGTCAAACAAAATTCAGCAATATTTATAAGAAAGAATTTCAAAAGATTTTCGACCGGTTGTTTTGAATCATTTAAATTATTGGTTACTTCATACAAAACTTGACTGATCGATTTGACACAGCTAACTGAACTTTTTAATTGGTGATCAAAAGTAGTTTTTGAAGGTTCACAAATGGAAAAAAAGAAATAAATAATTTGAAAAAAGGACTAAAAGTGAAGAGATAAAAAAAAGGAATCATCGAATGTGCAATACTTATTGGAGCTACATTAGTAGTCTGTGTCAACATTTGTCCACTCTTAATGATATGATGCAACTTACAATAATGAGTGTGTGAATGAGGACCTACAACTTGGACTTATTGAACACATTTTGGTCATGTTTCACATTTCTTTTTTATTTTACTTTTTGAGATAAGTAAAAAAATTGTTCTAAATTTAAGAATAGAAAATAAGAAACATTCATATTTTATTAGAATGAGTTAGCCTAAAGTTTTAAAAATCAGTTCAAATGGTGCTTTTATAGTAGGATTATGCTATGTGTACCCCAAGATTCCAATTTGTACCCCGCAGTTTTGCACCAACATTTTGTGTTGGTGTAAAACTAATTTTTGTTAAACGCACCAACATTTGTGTCCGTGTGAATTTTTTTTAACGCACCAACATCTGTGTCAGTGTAAACCATCGAAATGTTTGTGCAAACCTGTGGTGTACAAATGGGGTATATTTGTTGGTGTAAGTGTAGCATGGTCCTTTATAGTAAGATCGTCAGACGTGTATGCGAGTTCCCGATGGCCACATTGGCCGTTGCCAACCACGTGAGAGATCTTCCTTGTGTGCACCAAGTACAATATGATCTTTTTTTACAAGACTAAGATTAGAGCACGGTCAATAGCAAGTAACGAAATGTAATGACACAGGTTGATGTGACACATTTTAACCAATAAAAGACAATCCAATCAGCGTGTGGCAAGTGAGTGGAGTGGCATTTCGTGCAGTGGCAAGTCACTGTTTTTGTCAATTTTTATGATTTTTTAATGCATTTTAATTATTAAAAATTATTTCATTTATCTTTTTTAAATAAATGTACTCTTTTTTAAAAAAATTATTTCTCCTACAAAAAAAAATAAAATAAAATAAAAAAAACACCTAGACTGCCTCGCGCCTCACACGCTTGGCGTGGAGGAAGGCTAAGCCACACGAGATAGTTTTTCCAAATCAGCTGATGTGGCGCAGCGAGCGAGGAAATGCCTCGCCGCTGCGCATGCTCTTATACCTTGACTTATGATGTTACCAATTCTAAATATATACTCCATCCGTCCCAATTTTGATTACAATTTTATTCCCTCTCTCTTCTCGATAACTTTTACGGAGTATTTATTTGTGTCTTTTCATTGATTATTTGATAAGATAAAATATTCTTGTTACCTCTTGTTTTGTAAAACCTTTGATATAATTTTTTAATGTATAATTTTTATTTCTTATTGATCTATCATTTTGTAAATAAAATGATTTAAAAAATCTTATAATTTTACCTCGTAATTTCTATTTTGATTACAAAATGGGGACGGAGGGAGTATATATTTTTGTGCTATTAAACAGTAGAATTGAAATTCAACTCTACAATTTTACATTTTGATGGTCATAATTCAGTGTACTTAATGGAATCTTAGGGTCCGTTTAGTGCACGGATTGATGCCATTAGAATTAAATTGAGAGTTAAAACTCTATTGAATTGATTTAGATGAAATTGAACTCTCCAATTCAAATTTATTTTTGGCACTATCAATTTCAAATCTACATATTTTTGTGCTTCAAAACATCAAAACTAAAATTATTTTCTTCAATCCTAATTCGATGGTTTTAATTATATAGTACGACTTGGGGTCGTCCTGTGGCCCAATTGCATAATTTCTAATAGCTATCAAAACATAATTTCATGTTTAATTGTGACAATGGATGGGGCCAAATTATTTTTTGCTCTCTTTTTTAGATATTTCTTCCGTCCTAAAAAGATTGTAATAATTTAAAATTTTTAGTCAAACTGTGTAATACTTTGACCATAGATTAAGAAAAAATAATAAGATTTATTTTAAAATATAGTTTTAAAATATCAAATCTTTATAATATTTAATTATTTGAAACTATGTTAAATTTGTGATCAAGTGATATGGTGTCATAAATTGATCAAAAGAAATCAAGCAGTGACACTCTTTTTGGTATATAAATTTTCACCATACAATTTTATTTTTAATAAAAATTTTGTGAAAGTAAAATCAAGAGAATTATTTTGAAACAAAATGAGAATATATGCTTACTCTGGCAACTTTGAAAGTGAGAAAGATAAACCTACTTTACTTCTGCAATTTGATTGTCAGGTAGGGAGCCTTGTAGGGCAGTCCGTTATGAATGCTGGCCCCTCTTTCTATTGGTTATCACTCCCTTGGTCCCTAAACTTGAATACACTTTGATGCCTGAGCTTGTTGATTTTATGATCGAATTCTAGCCTGGCTCTCAATGTATGAGAATTTTTTTATTTGTAATAGCTCTTTGAGTGCAACAGATACGAGACGGCCTCTCTAAGGATTTACCCTCTTACAATCCTGTGTGGCTGGGGTGTGGGGGCGCCCGAGGTGGGCTTTCTACCTTTGAACACACTTTGATGTCGGGTGTTGTAGTATGTGATGAGTAGATTATTAATAAATAAGTATGATGTGATAGGTAGGGTAAGATTTAGTAGGAGTGAAATGTTTTTTTAATAGAAAAGAGAGAGTTTATGAGATAAGAAAAAAAGGAAAGGAGAAAGAGTTTAAGGGACGGAGGAAGTATATCTTAGGTTGCATTTCATTTGCCTGATCTGTTGGGAATCCCTGTGATGTCCCACACCGTACAAATCAAATAAAATACACTATAATTTAAAAAAAAAGATGAAGCACTACACATTAGTTTAGGTTTTTGGATAGAAAAAGGATCTGGATTTTATATGGGACGTAAGTGGTCAAATCTCACCCAATATTTCACCCAGTTCACACGACCCACTGAAATTCTAACATGGTAGCATAACCAAGTTCAGTTTGAATTTGATTCATCCTAATATATTCATCGTGCTAGCTATAAAGGGATATTGACATGCTAGAGCTAGACTCACTCATTAATCGATCTAAGTAGTAAGTAGACCAAATTAGTTACCACTTGAGGGGGTGTTGGGAATTCATCTGGTGGATTCAATCCCACACTGGACAAATCAAAACACTTCGCCTAGTTCACTTGGTCTACTGAAATTCCAATATGATCTAATTTGATTTTTTGAAGATCTGATCTGATCTTATTATATTTATATTTAAAATAGTTTCTAATTTGATCGCTTCTGGTGTAATCTAATTTAGTCTTATCTAATCTGATTTTAATAAAAATGTGCAATAAATTAAAAAAATAAATAGAAAACAACGGACCCTTATTTAATTACATACATACTCCCTCGGTCCATAATTTATTTTCCCACTTTTCTTATTTGTATGTTCATAAATTATCTTCTTGTTTCCTTTGTTGGAATTTTTTTTCTTTAAACCAGATTAGTACCCTCACATTTACCCATTAATTACCATCCATACTTACGCTTTTTTCACTTTTTGCAATTACCCAAGAACAAATATGAAAAGTCAAAACTTTTTTTATCTCTTAATTTGCGTATAAAGTCAAAAAAAAGAATTATTTTTGGACGGAAGAATATCTATGCAACCAATCATGGACTTACTCAAAATTCACTTATCCCAATATACCTTCACTTTATGCAAAAATTGTTCCATATAGAGGTTAAAGATGTTAATTAATTTAAAAAAATCCATTTAAAAAAATACAAATATTACTCCAAATTTGAGAGAAGAAATAAAAATATTTAAAAAAAAAAAGAAAAAATGGGAAGAGGTAAAAAAGTACCGGAGTAATTAACTCGTTTATACGGAGTAAAATAATAAGAGGAGCAGGAATTACGTTTCTGGTGATAATCAAGCAGAATCATTCTTTATATATTGTGAGCCAAGGAAAACAAAAAACCAAAAGAGAGAAAAAAAAAAGAATTAGAATACATAAGAAATGGAAAATTCTTTATTGAGCTGTGAGTGGGGAGAAAATAATAATAAAAATGGATCTTCTTCTTCTTCTTCTTCATGCTATCCTTCTGAGTATTACTATAGCTCATCTGCAGCTACTGCAGGGTTTCTCTCATGGCTGCCCCCGCCGCCGCCGCCGCCGTTCGAAGAAGTTGAAGACGAAGAGATGATGATGAGATCATGTGGTGGCGGAGGAGGTTCAAAAACCGCCTCGAAAAGCCACAGCCAGGCGGAGAAACGCCGCAGAGACAGAATCAACGCTCAGCTCGCCACTCTCAGAAAACTCATCCCCATGTCTCATAAGGTATTCTCATCTACTTGTTTTTTCCTCCCTCTCCACGAAAAAATTTCTATTTGACTTGATATTTTTACCTTTGATGCGATAAAAGAAAGTGAATAGTAGAAATAAAATCTAGGAGTATATAATGACACATTCATTAAAAACAATTTGCCAAAATAAGAAACGAGAAAAAAATTTGACAAAATAAGAAACGGGGAAAATTTTTTTGGACAACCTAAAGAAGAAACTGAAAGAGAAATTATGGACAGAAAGAATATTTTTATGGAATTTTAAAAAAATTAAAAAAATGTGACATTAATTTCTTTGGGAGAGACGATCTAGAAAGAATTTTATGGAGTTTTGGGAACTAAACCTCTCCAAAATTATGGCTCAACGCCTTAAAGTATGTTAATTAAAAATATCTGGTCAAAACAGAAAAACGAAAAAACAAGTTTAAAAATATTACTTATTTTTTCTGGCTTATAAACAATTACAAGTCAGATTATAAGAACACAGAAAATATCATCAGCTGACTTATAAATTAAAAACTGATTATAAAAAATATTGGCAAATTTCTAAACATAGAAAAACACATCCTCAATGTTTAATGAATTTCATCGAAAAAGTCAAACATACACAATTTGGCAGGCAACTGGTAAAAATTACACAAGGTACGTTTCATTTGGGGAGGAAATTATAGAAAAAATTAGTACCAAAAAATTGGTTACTCCGTCTTAGAAATCATGATATATTCCTTTTAACGCTCCGGGGCTAATAAGATTATTCAAATAACCCTTTTATTTGTGGTTTAAAAAAAAAACCCTTTTATTTGTAGTTTTGTGCACATATAAACGTCATTTTATCTGCCAAAAGAAGGCTAGATTTGAACTTTGATACCCAAAGATTCAATGGGGGCAACCCTAGCACTTTCACAAAAGGAAATAGATACCCAAACAATGCATATACTCCACCAATTAAGAGTGAAGAAATGGTTGTCACAAACACAATAGTAAAGACGTAGTATACTTTGTTTCAATTTAAGTTGTGTATTTTTTTGTGTAGAAATATTATTATAATTGAACTTGATTTTTGTTAAAAATATAGAGTCTACTAGTCTAACCTAATAGTGAGTCTATTTAAAACGAGCCCATTAACTTAAAACCTAAAACATATCCTAATACTTCCCTCAAGTTGAGAATAAGGATCATGAATAAAGACATAGGACAATAATAAAGCTAAAACTTGAAATTAAAATACCTCGATAAATAACTTTGATAAAACTTTGATTTGTCATGCTAACAACGATTTTAATGACGAATGACTCTTATGTGAGACGACTAACAAACGGACAGAATGTTGTTGGACTGAGGTTCGCCTACCGATCCTAAAACTGACATGCCGTACACACGGTTGGTTGGACCACATACCAAAAAGCAACCAAAAAACGATGTCATAAAGACGTCATAGAAAAGGTTCGGTTTGATAATGAAAACCTTCTTCCATGGACTATAGCCAAAAGCAAAGTCAATTCAAATCAAAACTAGACTTCTTGTTTTCAATCGGCACAAATTAAACTCCAAATCTTCACAAAGGGTAGTGGATTAGCTATAGCGGTTGTTGATTTTGTGAAAGAACATATTGGCGATATTACATCCAAGATTCTTCAAAATATATTATATTGTTTTTTTAACTGCACCAATGAGAAGTCAAGTAGGAGAGGTTTATGCACCACCTAGATTGACGAAAAACGCCGCTGTTGCGGGACAAACCACCGGTGACGGTGACAACAAAAGCAACATATTAGAGCAAACTAGGGTTTATGTTCTCAAGTTGGCTCTGATATCATGTAGAAATATTATTGTAACTGAATTCGATTTTATTAAAAATATAGAGTCAACGAGTCTAACCTAATAGTGAGCCCAGTTACAATGAGCCCATTAACTTAAAACTTACTCCATACGTTCTCAAAAAGAGTTCCTAATTTGACTAAATGTAAAAATAAGTTAAGGAAGTATTAAATTGTAGTTGACTTCCAATTTTACTCTTAATTTACCTAACATTTTAAGAACGAAGGAAGTGTTTTTCAGAACGGAAGGAGTAATACATATCCTAACATTTTAGTTTACGATTTTAAACCAAAATTATATTCAATATGATTTATTTGAGAATCAATGTGAAACTAAAAAAGTTATACATTTAAAAGTTACAAAAAAAAAAATTCTACGTAGGGTGATGCAAATGAAGACCATTGTCGCTCACTGATTTTTTTTTACTGACCTAAGAGTACTTGGCTTAGGTATTATCCGCATACAATTCTCAATAGTACTAACTCAACCTTGTTTCCTTTCCTCCGTATCTTAGCTAAAATTACTAGTATGCCTCTTTAGGAGTCCTATATTTGGTAATAGTTCTTCAATAAATTTTAATAATATCTCCAAATATTTATCTAGTTTTTTTTTTTAAAATCAAAATTGACAAACTTTAAAATAAAGTAAGTAAAACTGATGTTAGATAATACTCCATATATATTAATACAAAAACAACTCATTAGATTTATCTTGTAAAATATTTTTAAAATATTATTTTATCTAATAAACACAGAGCATACCACATACTCAATTTTTACCAAAGTTTTAAATTAGAGGTCAAAGATTGCGCTTGATTGGCCGATCAAAACCAAACAAGTAGTTTGAAACATAGAGAGTGTCATTTTCGTAATTTCCATAATCGAGATTTTTATTTAAAAAAAGAAAGATATATAGTTTTACCCAGTATTATGAACATCTTAAAACAATTCTTTTACTACGTACTTCATGTAAAAATACCCGAGCAATTTTCAAAAAAAATACGGCGTATTAAAATAAAAATTAGGGAGTATATGAACGTATGATCGGTGGTTGTCAAGTGGGGGTGAGAAAATGGGATATGGCCGAAATAGTGCCAGAAAGACGTACGAAGAAATAATAATGTGTGATACCAAATACACACCCACTTCCGATTCAAGTCCAAATCGTTATAAGACTACTTTTAATTATTTGGGTTTTAATTCTTTTTCGAATTTGTAATATGAGGAATATACCTAAATAACACTAAAATATAATAATTTTCCTTAAATAGCATCATATGTAATTTTTTTTCTTCTAATGTAGCACTATTAGTCATTATCCATTAGTTATTATTCAAGTAAATGTTCGCAATCACTCACATAATTTCTCATTCTGGACATTATTAACTGCTATTTAGGAATAAAATAATTTAAGGGCTATTTATGGAAAAGACTTAAGTTTTAGTGCATGCTATTTAAGGCAAATATTTCTTGTTGTTATATACACTTTCGTTCCAATGTGTTTCTTCATTTTGGCTCTTTATAATCAGAGTACACAAAATTTATTTTGATTATCAATTAAATAAATATTATATTACTTACTAGCTAATAAATCAAATACAGGGTACTTTTTAGAAATTTTTATAAGATACATCTAATTAAATTAATTTATACTGATTTTTTTGTTTAAATTAGATTGATACTAATATGTAATGTACTTTTATTTTATTAATGATCAAAATTCATATGCATAAAATGTAAAACTCAATAAATATTACTCCATCCGTTCCTTTAAACCATTCCACTTTTGACTTTTGGCAAAAATAAGAAAAATGTAATTTTGGTTGACTTTCCAATTTTGCCCCTGATGTGATGGGTAAAAGTAAGATGTGATAGTTTGGTTATTAGAGAAAAAGTATGATGTGATAGGTAGGGTATGAAAAAGTAAGGGTAAAAGTAATTTTTTAATAGAAAGTGGAAGTGTTTTAGGAAATTCAAAAAAAACGAAAGGAGAAGAGTTTTGTGAAACGGAGGGAGTAAATCTTTGAAGAATTTACCTAAAGAGTACTAAAACATACTCCGTAATAACTTTCTCGAAATCGCATCATATGTTTTTATTTCTGAATCTATCATTTTTAGTTAGTTTTCATTCGTCATTATTCAAATAAATGTTTAGATACTATTATGTGCTATTTATGAAATAAAAATATTTAAATCACTTATTAAAAAATGACTTCTATTTTAAAATAATTTAGTGCAAATATTTCTAAGGTTTTATGATCATATGTGTGATGCATGGGTCGTTAATTACGTTGAAGATGGACAAGGCAGCTCTGTTATCCAGTGCAGTTGACCACGTCAAAGAACTCAAGATAAAAGTCGCGGAAACCCGCGAACTCCTCGCCGACATTCCGGCGGACACCGACGAGGTGGTGGTCGTACACGGCAGCGACGACCAACAACAAACGGGCTCACCACCACCACCAATCGCCGGGCGGAACATCCTGAGAGCTTCTGTGTGTTGCGAGGACCGGCCGGAGCTGTTCGCGGAGATAAACAGCGCGCTCAGGGAGCTCCGGCTGACGACGTTGCACGCGGAAGTGTCGTGTTTGGGGGGCAGAGTTAAGGGCGTGTTTCTGCTGCTGTGTCCGGAGGGGGAAGAGGGGATTTGCGTGAACACAGCCAAACAGTCCCTTAAGGTTGCCTTGTCCAAGGTTGTTATGCCTTGTTCTACCAACAGTTATCGCATCAAAAGCAAAAGGCAAAGATTTTTCTTGCCTCCTACTCATTATTATTATCAATGATATAATGAAGTCGTCACATTCTATCATAATTTAAATATAATACAAATAAATAAATTTAATAAAATTTTGAGATATCAAAACAATATTTAAGATCAATCCAATTACATTAAATTTATGTTATAATTTAATATATTTTTCTCATAATTTTAGGTCAAAAAGTGTCATTGTTTGACAAAAAGTTCAAAATAGGAAGAGTTTTCGTGGAGGAAGAAAGTATGTCATTTTGGCTAGAAAATTGTTGCTCCATTATTTTTGTTTCATACGAGCTGGTATTTTCCCCTTTTTTTTGTTACCACAAGAAAAAAAATTATGTACTCGGCCAAAATAAGCAAGATACGTGCAATTCTAATAAACAATTATGTGCAGGAATGGTAAGGTTTGTGAGTAAGGTTGTGTTCTGTTCGTCTGATCTCATCTGATTTTTTGAATTTCTGATCTGATATGATATGATTTTTGTTAGATAACTATGGTAATAATTATAGTTATAGAAGGATTGTTATTATAGTTAATTACCATATTTGGAGAATCCTAATTGATGTAGGAATCTCCATCTATATAAACTACCTTGTACACAATTATTTCCTTGAGTTGAAATCATAATTCAATATGGTATCGGAGTCTATTGATCCGTCTCTTCCTTCTCGATAACACAAAGAAAAGAAATCGGCCCAGCCGATTCGTCTTCCCACGCCGCCGATCTCCACCAATCGGCCATGGCTGCTCAATCTTCTGATCCCATGGATCGTCTGCCTACGGGTTTGAAATTATTTGTCCGGAATCTTCAATCTCTAACTCCGGTCAAACTTGATGATACAAATTATCCTTCTTGTTCTGCTACGGTTCGTGCAAATCTCATCGCTCATCGTCTCCTCGGATATGTTGATGGTTCAGAAGTGCCTCCTCCACCCCTTGTTCTGGACGAGAAAGCTGCCGCCCCTAGCAAGGATGAACCACCAGTTATGAAACCCAATCCTGCTTATGACTCATGGGTTCTTGTTGATGCTCAAATCCGGGCCTGTCTTCTTGCTATTGTTTCTCCAACCGTTCAGACTCATATTCATGCTCTTCCGTCCTCTGCTGCGATCTGGAATCACCTCGAACAACGGTACAATTCTCTATCACGTACTCATATTTTTCAATTGAAGGAGCGCCTACATAGCATTCAAAAGGGCACTGATTCCATGCAAACATACCTGGACACTGTTCTCACTATTGTCTCATCTCTGAAATTGGCTCATGAGGACATCTCTGAACAAGATATTATCCTGTGTGTGCTTCGAGGCCTCCCTACGGACTATGCCTCGCTCAAACAAAACGTTCGTACTAATATTGCAACCGTCACTTTTAATCAAGTATC